TCTAGAGCTAAGCAACTTCTCACACAAATGCGCAACCCCGAGTCCTGCTTCGTCCTCCTGCAGACCTGATCCCGGCTCCTGAATGCGCCATCCTCCCGCCATCCCTGGAATTCCGAAGTCAGCCTTGACTTCTCCCACTTCCTTCACAGTGATCTCGAGGTGCCACATTACTCTGCTATTCTCCCTCTCACATCTTTGAGGCAGGATTCCATGAATCATACTGCAAACACATAGCTATTTTACACGCCACTAAGAAAGAAAGGACATGCTATTTAAAGCATGTCTCTGTGCTTTAATTTCCTAGAAGTTCTGTTTTCTACTTACTGAAAAAGCCCTTCTAGAACCATTTAGACACCCATTTTTAGGACATGGCATGCTTGCACTTTAAGAAAAATGAGAATATAACAGAAACAAATCACCTGAATACCCCCAAGATGTTACATCCAGAGTCTGACTCTTCTAAGCCACTTTTTGACTGCAAGTCAAAGGCATCAGCACTTCTGCACGTAGCATGGGAAGGCTGCCCCAGCATCGTCTCTGAAGAGCCTCCAAGTCGCTGGCATCTGATCTGCACATTCTGGCACTGGTCCTTTATGCCCTGCAGAGTGGGAGGCAATCCTTTTGCACCACTCAGGAATAAAACGTACCCAAATGTGGTTGGTCACTTGCTGGCCACATAGCCCTCCCCTCTCAGGCTACACACAGCTCGCCTGTGCTCCTCTGCTGAGGGAGAGCCTATTTCTCCACTTCCTGAAATCTGAGCTAGTTTGCGGCATCCCGCTGGAAGATGAGATGCCACATGGAAGGGAACGTAAATGCTCAAGAACCAGCACTAACTGCCAGACGTGTTGGTGAGACCAGCTTGAACAACCCAATCCAGCCAATCTTCCACTGAACACAGCCTCAGAAGCAACCAAGGTGAAACCAGCCCAAGACCTGTACAGCCAAGTCACAGAACTTAGAGAAACCATAAACCCTTGCTGCCTGAAGCCCCTGGTTTGGGGGTGGCTCGTTATACCACGTAGATCACTGATGCTGGCAGCTCTGCCTTTGTGTGTCTACCTCCCTGTCTCAGGTCCTACACAAGAGCTGGTTGCCACTCCGCAGGAATAGATGAATTGAGGAAGAATATACCCAATCAATAGCAAATTTGCATCTTGATGTTCTACTTTTAGGCCTTTCTGTGTATATAATAACTTTTTTGTTTAAATTCTGCCATAGCAAAATCATTTTGAGAACATTTTACACAGCAGTTGAACTCAACATGTACAGAATCAATCCCGCCCCCAACTCAATTGAAGACACAGTCAGATGAGCAACCAGCACCTGCAACATGGCTGCCAACAGGAGTCCTGAGACACTGTCAACATCAGCTGCACCTGTTCCAGGGATGCCAGGATGTGGGAACGTGCCCTCCATAGAATCCATGATGCACAGCACCTCCCAAGTCCCACTGCTCTGCTCCACCTGTCACCTCACTGGGAATGTCACAGTTGCTCAGGACCAGCCCCTCCCTGTGCATTTTGCTCCCTTTTCGGTCCATACAATTTATTCCATCAGTAGCAGTGAATATCAAGTAGATATGGTTTACTGCACTCCCTTGCTCAAACCTGGGTCCCCGCAGATAAAAACATCTTCCTGGGGAGCCCAGCTCCCCTGACCCCCTACCTGCCCACTCTCACAGTGCTTTCCCACCATGGGTATCAGGTGTTTCTTTCTGACTCCATTGGGCATGTCAATGGGGAGACATAGGCAGATGTAGAAGTTAAACAGTTTATAGGAGAAGCATCACTGATCTGTTGGAATTGTGGAGGTGGGGAGGTGTTGGTGCTGGTGGAATCTGGGTTGATTTAATTACTGGGATTTAATTTACTGAGCAGGAGGGCTCAATGAGGTCCGCTAGGGTTACTGTCACGCTTATTGACACTCTGACTTCTCCAATCGTGGAAATTTATGCTTCCCTCGTCTTCGTGTCTCTCATGCTGGCAGGGTGTGCTTAGCATGCTGCCAACAACTCACCACAGCCTCTGGACGACCAGGGGAATCAACAAGTGCCCCGTTCAGGCCAGATATCCTGGGGGTCACAGGTTCCAGGTCATGTTTGTGATTTGTTCATTGAAGGGTCAAGAAAGACTTTCTGCTTTGTATTCTAGGTACTTTTTTTTAAGCTTACAAATTCAAAAGAAAATCCAGCATCCAATTTTAGGGAAAGCTGATACTTTGATTGGCTGATGTTATGAGAGTGTCCATACCACCAAGGGTCCCAACAGCCTGGCATATTTCACAAGGCAGTATCTTAATGCATGATCACTCCTGTAATTTTTTTTTATTTTGTACCTTCTTTTCCAAAAAGATGCTGTGGCAGTTCACATAGAAAACAGGTAAAAGAGGTTTAGCAGGTTAGAAATGGAAAGCCTGGGACAAGCAAGTAAAGAAACAAACACATTTATCATAAATGGCTAAGTTGCTGCAACTCATCATAAATTCAAGCCTCGGAGAAGCCCTGTGTGTGGAATTATTTTCATTCTTAGAAACACACCCGCTCTTCAAGTGAAGCCAAAACATATTAATACTGAGTTCTAAGATAATACATCTTTACAGATGTAGACCTTTATACAAGGGACAATGAATATAGCAAGGCACATCATTTTTGTATTCTCAATGACCATCATTCATTCATCCATTCAACAAACACCTAATACTCAAATACATTTCCTAGAAAAAGAAAATTCAAATAAATAAGGCGATCATTTGACTCAAGAAGCTACAAAAAATAATGAGTCAATTCAGAAGAAAAGCCCTGGCAGGAAAAGTCAGACGAGGACAACGTGAGAAAGAAGTCAGACAGGCTCACCTCACTCAGGAGCAGACATGCAAAAATCTCCAATAAAGCTTAGCAAAATGTATTCAGAAAAACGTTTTTTTAAACATAAGGTTTAATCAGTGAGTGAAGGTGGATAAGGACTGTGGTTGTGAACTCGGCGTGAAGACTCAGGTCAGCAGTGTCATTACCTCCAGCAGCAGCAAGCTGCGTAAGTGCAAGTGCAGGGGAAGGGTGGGGGGGCTCACCCCGGGCTAGACGCTTGCCAGATGCACACGGTGGCTCACGGGTGAGAAAGTCAAAGCTATTTGCGGGAGGGTGATTAAAATGGCAATCATGAAACCTGAGCTGCAACAGCAGAAAAGCAAAGCCCAGGGCTGTTAGTTACTGGAAAAAACAGACCAGGACAATGTGGACACTCAAAACCAGTGTGCCACAGTAGGGAGGGCATTCAAGCCTGTGAGCCAGCAGACAGACACTGGCAAGGGTATGCGTTCAACAGCTTTGTCGAATAAATATTAATGTCAGTTGAACCACTAAAAGACAGTTTGGGTAGGATGGTCAGGGATATATGAGGATCACATAAACATGTTAGGAGGACTGGTCAGCCCCTCTAGGATCCAGCTTCTGCACACCTTTCTAATCCTGTACCCTCAGACCTCCTTGCCATTATTCCTCATGCTTTCTGCTGCAACTTCAAATTCTGTGTTGATTAGGAAACACACACACACACACATGCATCCATACACATAGGTACACATGCAGACACACATATGTATCCATGCACACAAATGTATTCATATGCACACCCATGTATGCCTCTATACACAAACATATGCCTCTGTACACATGCCTATGCATTCATACTCACACATGCATGTGCATACATACACACATGCACACATATGCATCCACACATGCATAATGCATGCATGCACATATGCATCCATACACACACCTCCAAATATACACATGCATTTATACACCAATACACATGCATGCATACACACATGCATACACACATATGCATCCATATATACACATCATATGCACACATATGCATTCATACACATTCACACATGGATGTACATCTGTACATGTACTCATGTGCACACATGCACACAGATGCCTCCATACACACATGCATTCATACATATACATGCATGCCTCCATACACACTTATGTATTTATATACATATAAACATCCTGACAAACACATGCACCCATACACACATGCATATACATATATGCATCTATACACATGTGCACCTATACACACATATGTATTCATATGCACACACATGCATCCATACATACATACATCCATGTACACACATTCATCCACTCACACATGTATTCATGTGCATATACACATGCATCCATGTACACACATATGCATCCATTCACACATGTACTCATATGCACACACATACATTCATGCACACACATGCATCCACTCATACATGGATTCATATGCACATACATGCATCCATGTACATGTGCATCCACTCACACATATATATATACAAACACACATGCATCCATGTACACACATGCATCCACTCACAGATGTATTCATATGCACACACACACATCCATGTACACATATGCATCCATTCACATATGTATGCATATGCACACACACATCCATGCATACACATGAATCCATATATGCATACACTCACACACATGTATTCATATTCACACACACATATGCATCCATACATGCATGCCTCCATGCACATGTATTTATACACACACATAAACCCATACATACACATATGTATTCATACACACATGCGCATGCAGTGAGCGGCTTCTTACTGTCACATCTGCCTGGAATGTCCTCCTCCCACCCTTCGCCAGAGCCCACTGCCACTTATGCTGAGCTTGAATCCATTACTCTCCTGTCTGTCTCATAAGAGTTCGGATGTATTTTTGCCTTCACACCTACTAGGTTGCATTACAAACACCTGTGTGCAGCTCTCAGCTCCAGGCTCTGCGCTCCAAGCATAAACTTCCTCTCCTATTACACCACTCTCAGGAGTGCACCTGCTTTTTCTTTATAAGCCTGGTACTAATGCTGGCCCAGGAAGCTCTGTTTATAGCTCAGGCCCTCGCCTTGCACTGTGCCCTTGTTAATGCCAGTAGGCGCCAGAATCAGGAACAAGTTACTTACTTGTTTTAAAACGTTATTTACTTTCTTCTTTCTCTGTAGGTGTTTTTCAACATTCGCATATATTCTGCAAGACAAAAGATATTCAACTTGAAATGTAACTCCCTGCGGAGTTATCGCTATAAAATGTAGGCTGCCTGGTCTTCAGGAGGGGAGTGACCATGAGGAGGAGCAAGCTGTCCACAGAGGACATGGCTCATGGCAACAATGATTTCCCAGCCCCAGGAACAGAAAGCGGCCCAGGAATCTGCTCGATTTCCTTCCTGGAGGTCAGATGGCCCATCCTCCTCCTACCACAGCACAGATCCCCTGCCCACCCGCCGCCTTCACAAGTGCAGGCATCCCATTTCTAGTTCCTCTTTAGTGAGGATTTCTCCAATAGCTGCTATTCAGATGTGGAAATGCTTCTACCCCAGGATTCTCTGCAAAAGAGCACCTCCTTGGTCTATTCTGTGTAAGCCACATGAGCTTCAGTCTCTGAACGATTGCACGCAGCCTCCTGTTGACCCTAAGCTCAACAACTTCAGCAAAGGAAAAAGATTTAAGCCACTGAGACCCGGTCAGGGCTCCCCAATGAACAGATGATGGCAAAAAGCAAAACACATTGCAAGGTGGGAAACACGTGGGGGGCAGGTAGAAAGAACGACTCAACTCCACAGCCCCGAGGTGCTCCTCCTCACTGTGCTATCAGGATTATTAGCACGAATTAAGTCAATAAAGTCAAGAAACAGCCACGTGTGCCAGGCACACAGGTGGGACTCCAACCCAGCCATCTGCCTGGATACCAAACTCTGTGGGGTTGTCCTCAGTAGACAGGACAAAGGGAACCTTTCCTGCCTTGAAGTACAAATCCTAGCAGCACGTGAAGCAGCATGGGAGGAGGCCATCCCGGACGCTGCACCCTCAACGGAGGTTCAAGCTCTCCAAATGCAGAAGGCACTCGTGCCACAAAACCTCAGGTGTAGAGGAAGGCTGGCCACCTGCATGGCGTGCAAACCATCTGTCCTGCTCCACAATGAGAGGAAAAATGACAGCTCTTTTTCTTTGCTTGAGATAATAATAACCATTAAAAACTTGATGATGAACTAATTCCAGGAAGGTTCCTAGTAAGCCCTCAAATCGTGTCCTACTCGAAATGCATTTCAAACACATCAGTCAGGGCTGAACAGCTGAGAATAAAGAATCCCACAGATGGGCTCCGGGACCACTCAGAACATTTCATCTCCCTTCCGGTCACTGCTTCATGGCCATAAACACACATGCAGTGGGGCACCCGCTTAGCCACGCCCAGAATGACTATAAAAATCATGGCTTTTTTCACCAGGAGGGAGCGACACTCGGCACAGACTGTATTTAAGATATGGAAAAGCAAGCCAAAACAAAAAAAAAAAAAAGCAGCACGCTGCTGCGCCATGGGCAGGCACACTGTGCCTGAATCGGCTCTGAAACTGTATCGCACATCTCAAGTCTCGATCTCTTAAGACTCCTGGTTTCCCAGAGAAAAGCAACAGACCCAGCGTAGATCTTGCTGTCCTTGTGAATACGTCATACAAGAGCAGTTCCCCCACACCTCATTTTTAAAACCTAAAATTGTATCATCTTTAAGAATATTACGTTTCACTACTGAAAAATAACCAACAACTGAACTGGACCTATTTGGGAGAGATACTAGGGGAAAGGCAATCTGTTTCCAGCACTCAGGAGGGAAGGTATGAAGCATGCTCACTGTTGGACCTCACTGGGCACCCTCGGAGACTTCCAGTAAGGAAAACGCTTGAAGCTCTCCAGTCCCACAGCAACGTAAAAGTGATGGTCTTGCAAATCCTTTGAGTTATCCAAAACATGCCCATCCATTGTAAATAATCTGCAAAAACAGAAAGAAGAAATGGGATAGAGATTTGAGGATCAGTGACACAGGGCTTGGGGTATGTGCGCAGACGCTATGGAGACTACGGGGTACGTGCGCAGACGCTATGGAGACTACGGGCTACGTGCGCAGACGCTATGGAGCCTACGGGGTACGTGCGCAGACGCTATGGAGACTACGGGGTACGTGCGCAGACGCTATGGAGACTACGGGGTACGTGCGCAGACGCTATGGAGACTACGGGGTACGTGCGCAGACGCTATGGAGACTACGGGGGTACGTGCGCAGACGCTATGGAGACTACGGGGGTACGTGCGCAGACGCTATGGAGACTACGGGGTACGTGCGCAGACGCTATGGAGACTACGGGGTACGTGCGCAGACGCTATGGAGACTACGGGGGTACGTGCGCAGACGCTATGGAGACTACGGGGTACGTGCGCAGACGCTATGGAGACTACGGGGTACGTGCGCAGACGCTATGGAGACTACGGGGGTACGTGCGCAGACGCTATGGAGACTACGGGGTACGTGCGCAGACGCTATGGAGACTACGGGGTACGTGCGCAGACGCTATGGAGACTACGGGGTACGTGCGCAGACGCTATGGAGACTACGGGGTACGTGCGCAGACGCTATGGAGACTACGGGGTATGTATGCAGACGCTATGGAGACTACGGGGTACGTGCGCAGACGCTATGGAGACTACGGGGTACGTGCGCAGACGCTATGGAGACTACGGGGTATGTATGCAGACGCTATGGAGACTACGGGGTACGTGCGCAGACGCTATGGAGACTACGGGGTATGTATGCAGACGCTATGGAGACTACGGGGTACGTGCGCAGACGCTATGGAGACTACGGGGTACGTGCGCAGACGCTATGGAGACTACGGGGTATGTATGCAGACGCTATGACTAGTGCACGGACCACTGGAGAAACAGCACTCATCATAAGCAAGGGTTACCCGAATGGGCCAGTGAATCCCGATGGGAGCTGCTCTTCCAGGATGAGACCTCCTTTCCATTTTTAGATTTTTTAAATTAAAGCATATTTTTAATTATAAAAGTGCTCAGATGCTCTCAAGAACATGTTATACTCTTGGTTAGCATTCAATTAATTTTAATTAATAACAGCTAAAATTACCACAAATTGGCTCATATTGTTATAACTACTTTGAAAACAAACCAGGATTTATTAGCAAATAATATGCATATTTATAAGTACCAAAAGACTAATGTTAGTCTACTTTTTACTCAGTACTCCTTTTTGGCAGGTACTCCACTAGTTTATTTAAGAATGATTTAAGAAATGATGCAATTAATTCAATGCTGAGCCTCCATCTGCGTAAGACGATGAGGAAGGCAATGCATTGGATAGAAATATGCATGAGAAAGTCTCTGCCTCTCCAGAGTCAGGAAGCACCCAAAAGCCTGCAAAGCTGACAGGACAGGCGAAGTGCAAATGGCTGGGGTCCCAAGAGAAGAAAGGCTGAACCCAGTGCAGGCTTCACAAAGGTGGATGAACTTGAAACAGGGTTGGGAGGGTGGGTGGGATGTCATCATGTACCGATGGGATGAAGCCATCTGGGCAGGAGGATTCTGCGCAAAAAGCTGGAACCCAGGGTGGGGAGGGGAGCTGACAGCCACTGAGGGTGAGGCCAGACCCAGCTGTGAATGAGCAGGACAGGGGCAGTTTCCAAAGAGCCTTGAATTCTGGGGAGGAGCATTCATCATTAACTTCGTCAGAGTGAAGATTTCCAAGGAACACTGGATAAAGACTGTTTTAGAGCTAATGAGCGGGCAGCTGTGGCCAGGACGTGACTGAGGAAGAATTGCCCCTGTGGGAGGAGACTCAGAGCTGCCACAAGAGCCTGAGCGGAAGGAACAAATTAGGGCAGGAAGAGTAGGAGCAGAAGAGAAGAAACGCAGGGGGCATGGAAAGGAAGCATCTACGGAACCTATCCCTTGCAGAGCCGGGCATCAGAGCTGCCCTGAAGCCCAGCTTCAGAGTGCTGGGCCCCACCCACTGCACGGCTCCCGGCTCAGGAAGCCTGGGAGAAGGCCTGTGCAGGGCATTTCTAACAAGCTCTTGGCTGCTGCTGCTGCTACTGCTCCTGGACCCTATCCCGAGAGCTGCTGCAGAGACTGACCCTGGAGAAAATGCAAGAGGCATCAAGACAGGAGACTGGGAGAGGCGTGGCGGAGCAGCACGTGCGGAGCCAGCCTGCTGGAGCACAGGCTTCCATGGCACACCCAGCACTTGGAATTCCGTTTTCCTCTGCCAGGGACCGGGGACAGTCAGTCCCCTCTGGTGGACTTGGACAGCCAGTGCCAGTATCCCCAGGAGTAAATCAGGAACATGCAGAAGCCTGACCAGGGAACAGGGAACTGACAGTGGTCCTAAGGAGAAGGTGTCCTCCCAGTGACTGCTTCCGGGCCAAACAGCAAGGCTCTGAAGGGGAACAGACAAACCAAGAATTCACGCGTGAATATAAAAAATGCCAGCAAAGAGGTGGCAGATATTCCCAGGATGAACAAGGATACGAAACCATAAAACAGAAGCAAGTAGAAATACTGAGGTGAAACTCAAGTCCTGGAAAGAGAGATCATGATGGGTGGATCGGAGAATGGACGTGGCCGAAGTGCTAGCTGCTGTTTGGAGGTGAAACTGAGGAACGCACTTAGGGGACAGCAGGGAGGAAGAAACAGGATCTGCAGAAGAAGAGCTGAGAGACCAGGGTGAGCAGCCGTGCCAACGCCGCCGAGAAGAATCCCAAAAGGAAGTTATAGTAAAAGTGCAAGGAGAAAATATGTGTAAAAATCATGAAAATTAATTTCCTGGAATTGAGGAAAGAGGATAAGCTGCAGGTGAAAAAGTCCACAGATGCCAAAGAACAGAAACCACAGGAAAACTCACCGGCAGATACCTGGGTGTGACACCTGTCACAGACATCATCCCAAAGGCACTGGGGCAGAAGACCCAGCTGCACCGCCCTCAGGACAGGACCGACTGGGGCCTTTCAGCAGTAGCACAGATGGGAAAGACACTGATACCTTCAAAATCTAGAAGAAAAGAACATTAAAGCCAGCCAGACCCTCACATGAACAGAAGGGATGAGATAAAAATGTCCTCAAGCTTAGACGGACTCGGGAGGTTGGCCACACAGAGACCCACGCCAAGAGCGTTTTTAGAGGACGTGGTCAAATGAGAGGAACAGCGAATCCAGGAGTCACTATGAGAATGATGTGAAGTAAAGGTGACCAAACGCAAGGCCAATTTGTATTAGCCTTTTTCTTTTTGAGACGGAGTCTCGTTCTGTCGCCAGGCTGGAGTGCAGTGGCGTGATCTCGGCTCACTGCAACCTCCACCTCCCAAGTTCTATTCTGCTGCCTCGGCCTCCAAAGTAGCTGGGACTACAGGCACACGCCCCACACCCGCACCACCACTCCCAGCTAATTTTTTCATCTTTAGTAGAGATGGCATTACACCATGCTGGCCAAGATGGTCTCCAACTCTCGACCTTGTGATCCACCTGCCTCAGCCTCCCAAAGTGCTGGGATTACAGGCATAAGCCACCGCACCCAGCCTGTGTTGTCTTTTTTTAAAAAAGCTAAGATCAAACAAAACATGTTCATCATAGCCCAAAATTCCAATTCTCGATCATAGCCATGCGATAGGAGCTGCTGAGGGGAGACCAAGGGACATAAAAATGAGCTTATGTTCTTGGATGGGGAGGGGGAAGACGCAGAAATCAATCAGCCCAGAAACACCAAGGCTTGGCGACTGGCAGGGGAGAAGGTGTGTGCAGTGTGCAGTGTGGGTCCAGGGATTCCGAGTGCTGAGCAGCATGTTAGAGGTGAGGAGTGGGGCTGATGGCTTGGGTAGAAGGAGGTGGAGGGAAAATGAGCTGTCAGCAGTAAAATGACTATAACAAATGTGCCTGAAAAAGCTACACTTGAATGTCTCCTCATAAACCAAAAGCGTGTCAGGCTTTCCCTCCAGCAGCAGGAGTCTTGAAGGAATGAAGCTAGCTGTCTTTATGTTCATTTGTTTGCTTTTAGAGAGCTGTGTTCTTTTCATTCAGGGATGGAAAAATAGAAAGAACAGGACTCTGGATGGCTCCACGCAGGATTCAGGAGGTGCCCCCTAAATGGAGACAGAGCCATGCCACCAAACTATGGTTTAAACCCTACGGGGCCAACAGGACACCTGGCTGCCCGCAAGCTGGAGGAACACACGGCTCAGGCATGTGCCCCTCGGACTCTTCCCTAAACTCATCTTGGCCTCATTTTCTTCTAAGAGAGGTACAAAGTCTACTCCCAGGGTGAAGGGTGAGTAGAAATTCCTTGGTGGGATAAGACAAAAAGGAAGTCACAGACAGAAAAATGACACATGCATCCACGTGCAAATGTGAGCCTGTATGATATGTTTGGATGACACCTATGCAGACATAGAAATGTGGGCGGGGACATCACATCCAGAGAAGTGCAGCCCTTACTGAAGTGTGAGTCTCATGCAGATGAAGACCAAGAATACAGACAGCGACTGAGATCATGCGCATAAATAACCGTGTTTTGCATCATAAAATGGTAAACACTAGGGATTTCTATTATAACCTGTATCAGAAAATGTAAGGACTAAATCAAACAGCCATTTGCAAAGTCGTTTTGTAAACTGGAAAACATTACAAAAATGTCAATTATTAAGTGATTTTTAATGAACCTTAAAAGACTGGGGATATAGTAGAAAATGTAAATATCTCTAAATTAAATCCTTTACCAATAAACAGCCAATTTGGCTGTTTTCCCAAAATAAAACAGCCTGTCTGTCTTACAGGAATTTTTAAATATTTGTGTTTAATGAGATTCCTTTTCAAGACCATGTAGCAATTAAAAGACAGATCTGGTTTTCGGCTAAGGTCTCAGACTCTCTGAATGCACAGTCTCATTGGGCTCTGAATCCTGGCCTCCAAGTCTATGGATCCCAGCTGT